GCAGGAGCACTGGCACAGCCAGCCAGTATAAGCAAGCACAGTGACATTGCAAATGTGGGTGTGTGCAAACTGACCTCCAAAGTTTGCAAGGCGTCCGATCCTTGTGACAGGAACCTTCCTCTCCCGGGCCCGCTCGCTGAGCTGCAGTGGAGACAGAGGGAAAGGAAAACAAGAAGAAATCCACAAATCAACTGGGCATATGGTCAGATACCTGCAGAGTCAGAGAACAACTTTAAACACACTTGAACAACTCTGTGCTACAGAAAGCTTTTCTTGAACACTGAATATTGAAACACACACTAAACAGAGGAATGGGCAAGAGGCTGGGAAAGACAGAAGAGCCGACAACCATGTTTGGAAACCCCATTTTTACCTTCAACTCAGTAGCCCTTATATTTTAAACTTGGAGAAGCTGTGCAATGCTAACCCAAAGTCTCTTCCACACATGCAATTAGAATTCATGGAAGGCTGTCTCCAGTGCTGTGAACCTGATAATGTCCCCATGCACAACAGCTGGAACAGCAGAAGCATACAGTTTCATCAAAGCAATATCCTGACTGAGTGAACCCACAGTAGCATCTGATACTGGATTTGGAGAAGGAGGCAGAAGCTCAGAGTAGACTGCAAGTGTCTCCACTGAGTTCTACTGTGGGCTTTCAGCACTGTTTCACACAAGGGCATGAAGGACGAAAGTAACAATTGTGAGCTATGCTACTCTCCAAGCTACTAATGCTCAGGTCAACATTCCCTCCACTTCTAGAAGGACTGCAAGACACCATACAGGAAGCCACAACTTCCACTGATAGGAGCTTAGGTTCAATTCATTCCTCACAGACACAGCTAAAAGGAACAGGGCCTTTCAAGGAGCAGGCTCTTCAGGTGAGTCCTCAAACTTTTGTAGCCTGTCCCCACCTGCTCAGCCTTTCACCCCAAAATACGGGATGAAATACAGACCTTTCATTACTGTAACATGTATCGATAAACACACTGAGTCCTCATAATCCAGTGAATGAAAGGAGAGCTCCAATTAATACAAAACTGAAACCTAACCCCATAGATGCCTTTTAAACAACCTCTCACATCAGAATATCTGAGAGAGGAGGCAAGTACAAAGAAAGCCTGAAAAGCTATTGACAGAACAAACATCACGGAGATCAAAGGTCATGAGCACTGACACTTCCCTCTTTTGCCTCCACAAAAGGGAATAGCAGAAGAGGAAGAAATGAGAGAAACACAGGAGAAGGTAAGGACAATCCAGTACAGAAACCAGAGTACTGAGACTCTTTAATGAAAACAACATACCATCTGTTTGTAGGGTTTCTGGTTTGAACCTGTCTTGGCCTGTCTGGCCTTATCAATATCTTCAGCTGTTAATCCACCAACAGAGGAATGGTCTTGATGAAAAGCCCTATTTTGTCCAAAGGCAGCAGCAAAAGGATTTCCAGGGTCTCTAATACCTCCAAATAACCTTGCATCCATTTTGGGAGGGAAAGGCTTCTGACCCATGCCAGAATCTCCAGTCTCATCAACATTTCTAAAAGGTCCATTCGTCCTGTAAGAGTAAGCAGGGCCTTCACTGTGTGCATGAGGCTTGCCAGTGGCAGTGGAGAAGTCCATTGGAGCATCTGATGGTTCTCGGGCTGAGAAGTCATAGTCTTTCCCAAAATCCTCACCAAGATCAGCAAAGTTCTCCTGCTGTTTGCCTAGTTCCTGCAAACAATAACAGTGATACTTTCAGAAAAGAACTTAAAACCTGCTCCCTACCAATCCATGGCCCTCAGAGATGAGCATGCAGCTTGGCTGTCATATTGCCACAGTAAGTCACCTGTAGAGACTCTGGCACTGCAGACCTTCACAGGAAGGGACAAGGAGAAAAAGAAGAGACACTGAGGACACCTGGGATCCCTGGCAATCTTTCAACTCCACTGATGGGAGAAATTTGTTAACAGCTTCTCAAATACCCATAACTGCTGCCAGGGAGGCCCACTAAATATAGAGCTCACTAGAAGCAATACTGGGAGCTGCAGTATCACATAAGACGTACTTAGGAGGGAAAACAAAAAACCTAACCTCATAACATTCAGTTCTTCCCTCTACCATGCTCCCTCTTACCATCCTGTCCTTAATCATGCAACATTGGCACTTTCAAACCCAAACCAATAGCAGATACCAACTTAGAGGCAGAGTAATCTCAGCCTTCCATGACCATAACATTACCAATTGCAAAGCACATTTCCTTATTCTTTTCCTTTCCAACTAAACTATGGCAGGGCTGGTTCTTTTCCCAAAATAAATTAAATTCTACACCTGAAGCAAGGATAGCAGCATCAGGCACAGCAACACTCAAAGAACATTTCTCCTCAGAGGTCTTTTCTGTTCTGTCCTGATCTGCAAGAGGTGCCCCACTAACTCCAGATATTTCTCAGCACTTTCCAAAATAAAAATAAATAAGTAAATAAAAGAAAGCCAGCAGCAGAGTATTGTCTCCTGTTTACTTACTACTTGACATGTTTTAGTTACCTATCTTGGCAGTGGCAATACCATGGAATAACTGATGACTATTACAGCCAATCAACAGGATTTTGAATACTGCTGTGGTCATGCAGGCAGGCAGCATATTTTAGGCTCTTTCCTAAACACTAAATTTCCCTCCCTTACAGAAAAAAAAAACCACTAACCACAAAACATGGTCTTTCCTGTTATTCAGCAGGTCTCATGCTATTCTGAACTACAACATCACAGTAGGGGGTAGAGGAGAAATATGTTTACAGATGGGTAATGTGGCCACAAAACTAGCCAATGATTTCAAGCAAGAAGAACTCTTTACTTGCATACTTGTATTTATAAAAGCACATCAGACAGCTAAAACCCTGTCACTTAATGCAAAAGCTTTCCTCTCTTCAAAACAGAAAATGCTGTACCTTGAGATTTCTTACCAAGCCCTGCTCTGGCAGCAGCTTCTCTTGCAACTCATTTACAGAATGCAGGGAAGTGTTCTGCACGTGTGCTCATGGGGCTTCTCTTGTGCAGAGAAACAGGGGAACATCAACTCTCTCTTCTTGGGTGCAAAAAAGACAATGGCAAGACAAAGCACTAACTCTATAAACAAACGCACGAGTTAGTTCTACTGCAAGCTTAAACAGAACCAAGGAAACACAGGCCCAGATTCTAGGACTGAAGCTATAGATTGCCATGATAGTCTAAGCTTATTGCATAAAAACCATCAAAACGTCATCCACTAGTTTCTGCTTCAGATGATCTGAGCTACAGAGTCTTTCTAAAGGATGATAAAGGATGATAACTTTTAATAAAGAGCAGTTTCTCAGACAAGCCCCAATTTTTCAAGAGATGGCAACACAGAAAATGTGAAGTTCCTATAAATCTATCCTCATCTCTGGTGACAGAACAAGCTGATTTAAAAAAAAAAAAAAAAAAAAAAGTATGGCTTTTCTTAGGTTCCTTATTTGAAAATCAGTTCTGAAAATCCAGCCTGGGCTGCAAATCATTAACATAGAAACACCTGACCCTGAGCCATCCTGAAAAAAATCACATGCACCAATTCTGCCAAGTAAGGAAGCAGAACCAAGACAAATCCAATTCACTCTACAAGAGATCATTGATTTAGTCAAGGAGATGTAATCAATGCCTAAAATTTAAAGGAGACTTTAAACAACAAAGCTGCTGAGTAATCTTCGTGAGAGCTTCATCTTTGACACAATGAGGTGAACAGAGCACTTTTCATTTACAGCACATCTTAAACACTTAGGAATGGAAACAGAAACACTCTGCAGTAACATTTTCCTCCCATTCCTGCCCAAGCACCTCCTGCACACCACAGTTCACAAAGAATTTCCAGAGCATTGCAGCATTTGCATTATCAATCCTGCACTTCAGAGTTAGGTTCTCATTCACAATATGAGTTCCTAGTCACTCTCACAACAAAACCAAATGATACCTGGAGGAAAAGCAAACATCAGACTAGACTATGTACAAAGAGCTTTGCTTACCTGTATTTTTCCCATGGCAGAACTGAACTGTTCCTCAGCAGTGGCCTGGAGAGTCCTTGCAATGGTAACTGCATCTCCCCCAAGGAGCACCTGCCGAAGCTGTCCTGCTTGGGTTTCCAGGATTGCTTTACTCAGCTTTGTCAAGCCTCTCATGACCATGATGGCATCACCCGCCATGACTGATTTCTTTCTGTGCTGAAAGATAAACAAGGAGAGGGGGCAGGGAGGCAAGATGTCAAGGAACAAGTTTGTAATCAGTTTCAAGTCACTTAAGAGCCACAACACATCCCTGAAAAATCTCTTTCCACTTTGGCAACCAGCCACCATAGGAACCTGTTTGCAGCTCAGATAAGACACAGGCCAGCCTGAATGACAGATAGTTAGCTGACCTTAGCAGGCAAAGCAAGAACTCTCCTTGTTAAGAGTCAGGATAACTTTCCAGGACTCCATACAAATATTAGAGTTACCGTTGACCAGGGAAAACAAAGACAGGTAAATGTCAGTAGATGCACTGCAAACATGGTCTTGATTCCTTCCAGATGTTTAAAGAGGATTAAAAACATTAGCATTTGACCTTTACCTATTATGAGGCCCTGGAACATGTTCTCAGAGCCTGAAAGCACTGATGAAGTGCACTGCCATATTCTATTCCTGCCCTGGACCTATACCTACACAATTTACCTAGCCAAATTTCCTCATTCCCACACCAATGATTAAGCTTTGCCTGTCCTCCAAGGGTAGTCTGTGCTCTGTCCCCAGCTTGTAGCTCACTCTGCTACTTGCAAGCTTAAGCACACTCAGAACACCTACCTACCACAGCATTTGCAAAGTGCTGCACTACAGCACTGAACTCTTGCCTCACATCCCTTCCCTTTCAAAGGGTACTCCAGCTCAGATTTATAAGAACCTGCCTGATTTCAGTGTCTTCAAGTACAAATTGAGCACTGTAGATTACACAGCAGAGTGTGTCTCAGAAGAGTAATTTCCATCAACACCTTTGTCTCAGCCTAGAAACAAGCTCAGGCTCAGGACAGCAGTGCTCCTACATCACTATCATTCATGTCAAAGAAAACCAGGAGTGGCCAGGATGCCAAAACCATTTTTCAAGGGAGATTTTCACCTGCTTATTTCACTTATCTCCCACATCTTTAAAGCACAGTCAGAGGCACAGTTCCAGGGCTGGCTCAGTTGCACATCCTTCAGTCTTTACTGACACAGAAGACAGAGGCATGCAGTTGGCACAAGATGCTGACTAAGGTTTAGCCTCAGCCATACAACATTTTCTGAAATCATTTGGAGGGGAAAAAAGTATTCTGGCTGCAGTGGTCTAAGGCCACATATTTAAGTGCCTAGGTACCAATGCATTTTTAGAAGATAACCTGTCAACATGCACAGCTATAAACACTAATACACTGACGTGGTGCAAGTGATCCTAAGTCAGCAAGACACACAGCATTATGTCTGGGTGTAGGCCTCAAGCAACTGGATCCATTTACCTTCTCAGGAAACACAAAGCCTGTCTTGCAAATGTGTCTGCTGCATCAGTCATGCAAGAGAAGAATGGACTGCTAAAGCTCAATTTCTGGCTAAGTACACAGTTTTGCTGCAATCACACAGGAAATGCATGGATTACTACAGCTGAACTTCAGAGCCACATTATTATGCAAATTCAGGATAAAGCCCAGTTCCTGGGATATTTGTTCAACAGCTACTAATCAGTGAAATAAATCAGGAATAACTGCTGCAGCCAACGAGTGAGTGTTACACAGTACATGTTTTAGCTGTGCCGTTAGGACAGTCAAGTGCTTGTGACAAATCTGGGCTTAAGAGGTTAGCTGTAAAAATAAAAATCAAGCCCACCTAGGTCATGATTCTGTGGTTCTCTTTACAAGACCTATCAATATGCTCCAGACCTGTAAGTGTTACTCCTGACTCTCTCCAGAGTTTAATCACTAGGGCTGGTTTTAACATTGGACAATAAACTTTTAAACTCAGAAGTTGCCTGTCAGGTAAGGAAACGCACTGAGTCAACAGGAAGTGGTTTCTTACCCCCACATATTCACACTGGAAATTTCCACATGGATCTCACCCAAAGCATCTGCAGGCGGTCCCTGCAATTCAGAGCCAGGCTAAGAAACCAGCCAACAACCCAGTCCTGTCCTAGCTGAAATGAGACCATTCAAAGGTTGCCACTACTAAGAAATAACTGCTTTTGTGGTCACAAGCATTAGAGAAGCACAAGAAAGCTTGAATGCAAAAAGTTTATTCCCTCCCTCCCAAGGACAGCGAAAGGTAATGCAATATAGATCAGTGTAAACTTGGGCAACACACACAAAAATATCCACTTTTAACATGGATTCTTTCTAACCACCAGTACTAAAACCATACCCTCCTTTCACCCACAAACAGCTGAAGGCCTTGTTATAAGGTCAGCTATGATAGGCTAAATGTGCAATTTTTAAAAAAAATTATCAACAAAATTTCAGGGAACCTAATGCAACCACAAGTGGAAAACACACATTGCACAACACACATTCAACCCTCTATTGCTAAATATATCAACAAGCCAAGAGGACCAATTGCCCTGTACAGATCTGGCTATAAAAGACTGCATTGGGCACATTCCTACCAATATCCTTCTGACTTCCATGTTATAAGCCCTAATTTCCTCTGCACAGCAGCTTTGACCACCTAGATAACAGGTAAGTGGTTTGTCAGCCCAGAAGCATCAGCAACATGCTCCTATGCAGCACTGCCAAAGGACAGGCTGTTCTAACAGGCCATTTATTCTGGCACCTTGCTGACATCCAGGCCTCTGTGTAGGAAACAGAAGCCTGAAGGCAAGCAACTTGTTTTATATGATCTCCAGATCCTCAGCAGGCAGCTCACAGACCCAAATGAAAATCAGACTGTAAGCACAAAGGCAGAGCATGGCTCAAGAAGAACTTCAAGGGTCAAATCCAAGGACAGTCACCAACCAAAAAAGGCTGAGATGAAGAGCATTTTCAGAAGTGAAACCCTATGCCTGCTTTTGAACAGAACTGTGGCTGTAAGCCATCTCCTTCCAGTTCCTTATCATTTGTATACCAAGTGCTCACCTTTAACAAAGCAGTCAGGAAAAAGCAGAGGAAAAACATAACTGTACTGTGATTAATCCTTCAGCAATAAGCATGAGCAAAAAAAAAAAAAAAAATTCAGGTAAAGTCCATACCCATCATCAAGCAATATGAAGATGGGAGCTAAGAAGAGCAATGAGAACTAACTGATACTAGACACATTTTCCACAAGTGGAAAAAATCCCAGGTTATCCAGTTTTGTAGACCCTGCATTTAGCAGGACACATTGGTTGGTTATCCTGGAATGGACAGAGAAAGCAGAGACTAATGAAGTTATCACAACCAGAGGGAAAGCATGGAAGAAAATATATGCTAGATAATCAAAAAGGTAAAAATAACCAAGAATTAGGAAAATTACCTTTTTCCTCTTCAATGGAAAAGCAATAAGCACAAGCAAGGACAAGGGATGCAAAAACTGAGACAGAGGAAGCACACTTCAAAGAAGGTTGGTACTATCCCCAACACTACACTTGTGTTAATACTCAATGGAGACAGCAGGCAAGGGATTTTTCCCCCCTAAGGCAAGTTTCATTCATGCCCCTACTAAATCAATAAAACAGATTTAAGGAGTGGTTTCAAACAGAATTAGTACAAGTGCACAAAGTCTATATCACACTTGACTTGTCCCCTGAGGATTCATTATCTAGTGCTAGCAAAGTAGGGCACTACTAGCATGGAGCACAGACAAGTCAGTTATGTCTACACAAGCTGTCAGAGTGCCTCTGACCTGGATTGAAGGAGGTTAACAAGTGTTGATAGCGAGCCATTTTCCAAAAATAGGCAAGGTCACAGTTTTGGCTTAGTAAGCTTCTCACAGTTGAATGAGCTCCTGGAAAACACCCACACACCTTCTAGTCTGAGGAGGCTAGAGCCAAGCCATCCTCAGACACCAGACAAGGCCTGCACAGCAGGCAGACAGGCTCGTACAGGTTACAAACCACACCAGTAGGTAAGCTATGTCCTGACACTGCACCCAGGTAGAGCCCTATTGTAACAGCAAAACTAAATCAATACCTGGAATGCTCCTATGCACAATGATCATGTGCCTCAGAAGCCACTGTCCTCTAGTGACTAGCTGCCACACATTTCCTCACTTCTTCAACATGCCAGATTACCAGATTGAAGGTTTAGGCAAGTGTAAGAAGACACTCAGTGTATCAGAGGCCAATAACAGAAACAGCCTCACAGCAGGTAGGAGATGACATGATATCTATGTACTGTTTTATACACATATGTATGTACTGTAGATATGTATGTATATCACTCCATTCATTCCCTTTCTTTTCTATATGCTAACATGTGTTCCTCCAGACAGAGAACTGGTTCTGACTCCATGTGCTTTTTTCCAGATGCTTGTACAGTCAAAAAGTTTACTGATACATACATATGCATGTGCATATACACACACACACATGTACATACATATAGGACAGTCCAAATTTAAACACAAGGAGACATCTAATGACACAAATATAGCAGTTCTATTTCTGAGTTTTCTGTGCATGACAACACAGCCTCTTTCAGTTTGAGAATTAGTTCTACCATCAAGTTTGCTACACACCCAAGCACCTCATCTACTGTTGAATAATTCAGAAAAAAACCAAACAAAACAAAACCACACAACATAAAATAACCAAACAAAAACAAACAACACATTGAAAAAAACAAACAAAACCACAGAAGTTTCATAGTAACTCATGTTCCCCCTCTCAGGTGTGCAGTTTTAGTTGCCTTCTTTTATCTCTGAGTTTTATTCTAAAGAAATGAAACAAAAATGAAAAATATTAGGCTGGACAGCTAGTGAGGCAGATAATTAGGCATCACACTTCCAAACGAAACTATCTCTATGCCTCCCTATTATCCTTTATTACAATCACTGTTATCTTAGTTGTATCAAACAAGGACTATAACCCTGGCACCAATATTATAGCCACACACACCACCAGAGCAAGTGTGGCAACAGTACACTGAAAAAAAATAATAAGCACCATAAACAAGTTACAGAAGACCAGGTACTCAGCACATTGCTCCACAGCCATGAACTAACAGTAGACTAAATTC